CTGCCTCCTCAAAGTAGAGTTGACCCTAATGATGTGAATGGAGCAAAGCTTTCAAGACCTTCATTTGCTGATGGGGCACAACTCAAAATTAGACGAAATGGCTGCAAACAACCATTTATAATCAGAATGTGGAATGTACGAAGTATGAATCTAGGAAATTTGAAAGTTTTCAAAAATTAAATGGAACACATAAAGATCATTTTTCTAGGCATTAGTGAACTGAAATAGACTGGAATTGGCCATTTTGAATCAGACAATCATATGATTTACTATGCTGGGAACAACAAATTGAAGAGAAATAGCATCACATTTATCATCAAAAAGAATGTTTCAAGATATGTCTTCAGGTACAAGGCTATCTGTGATAGGATAATATTCATATGCCTATAAGGAAAATCAGTTAATACCACTATTATTCAAGTTTACACACCAACCACTAAAGCCAATAATGATGAAATTGAAGAATTCTATCAACTTCTTCAGTCTGAAATTGATCAAACATCCACTCAAGATGCTTTGATAATTACTGGTGATTGAAATGTACAAGTTAGGAACAGAAATAAATCTTCTGCAAAAGACTTCTTTAGAGGATTAAGAAGCACCTGACCCTAGCCATGGTATTTTTGCTTGCTTCATATGCATGTGACATTGGACAATGAAAAATGAAGGCCATAGAAGAATTGATGCATTTGAATTATGGTGTTGAAGAAGAATATTTAAAGTACCATGGGCTGTCAGAGCAAACAAATCTGTCTTAGAAGAAGAAGAGCCATAATGTTCCTTAGAAGCAGGGATGGTGCAGCTTTGTCTCTCATATTTTGGACATGTTGTCAGGAGTGACCAGTCCCTGGAGAAGGACATCATACTTGGTAAAGTAGACGATCAACAAAAAAAGATGAACTCATCAACTAGATGAATTCAGACAGTGGCAGCAACAATAGGCTAAAATATAACAAATGCAAGAATGTCACAGAACTGGGTCATGTTTCATTTAGTGAAAAGGATCTTGAGAAATTGAAACCAACTCCACAGCACCTAACAAAAACAACAATATGTATCAGGGGCCACAGACTGATCAAGTGTTGGAGGAAGAGTCGGAGTATACCCACAAATATATAAAGGTTTGTACGTGGGTATTTATCTTGGCTGCAAACATATCCATGAATGTGGTTGAGCATTATTGTTGTTGTTGTTGTTAAGTACCATCAAGTTGGTTCCACCTAATAATGATGTGGTGGAATATACAGGGGCCAACACTATGAAAACTTCTTAGATACCTTGAGTGGCCAAACTGTTGGGCCTGGGGGTTCAGGACGATAATCTTTGGGGACATCATGGTTACTTGACAAAACATAGTCTACAAAAACAATGTTCTACATCCTAAGTGACGTATCTCCCACCTAAGTTGCAACTATTGGTTTTCTCCTTTCTGGAAGAAATAAGAGTTATGAAAATTAAAGATTCTTGGAAACAATTAGTTCAGTTGACTAATAGAATATGTAAACATCAATCTCCATGACCCTGAGACCAAAAAAAAAAAAACTAGATAGTGCCTGGCTACCACTTCCAGTAGCTCTGAAAAGGATCACATTAGAATTCCTGGATAGAGAGGGAAAAAATGTAGAATAAACTCAAAATTATAAGGAAAAAATAAAAGACCAGACTTACAGGTCAGAAAGAGACTGGGACCTGAGGCCATGGCCATTGGTCACCTTTCAGGTCTAAACTGAACTCACCCTCAAGGCTCAATTTTCAGTCTAGTGGTAGATAGGTAAACAGGGCGGGGATAACACTAGTTAGGTATGTACACCATAGAAGGGTCAACCATTGGAGATCAAAAGGACAGCATTTATCTAAGGACAAAATTTGGAAGGTTGGGAAAGAAGGTGGAATGTAAACAAGAAACAGAGAAACTGGGATAAGTTATGTTAAGTTAAAGGTGTTGCAATGAAGTATATGATTTGTTGATGATCTACTCTTTAAAACTTCAATTTATAATAAAAAGGTGAAAATAAACAAAAACCTTATGCATCATGGGAAAGAAAGAAAGGATAAAATACAGGTTGACCAAGAAGAACTTTCAAGAGGAAATATTGAAGAGCCTTTACAACATTGTATGGACATAACTATAGCCTCCTCCCTTACTAATCACCTAGGGTGATACAGAAGTCCTGGTGTGGCGCTGTGGGTTAATGTGCTGGACTGCAAGGTCGGTTTGAACTGCAAAGTTGGTGGTTCAAGCTCACCAGCCACTCCTTGGAAATCCTATATAGGGTCATTTTGAGTTAGAAACAACTCAATAGCACTCAACAACAACAACAGGGTTATACAATCTGTTGAGTCTGAGATCAAAGAATAAGGACAATCTATCAAAATGAACTTTATCAGGTGATATTTCATAAGGTATATAAATCATGCATGGCACTAGTGTGGGTACTGGTACAAAATGCCTCTGTTCTCACCTATAAAATGCTGTGGTGTTGGTGGTGGTTGTGGTTGCGTGCCACCAACTTTGTTCTGATTT